AGATATGATGGTTGGGATATATCTTTATTTGTAGTTATCATAAACCTTACTAGTTTATGATTATCCTTTGGCATGTAATCTTTATTCTAGTAGGATTCTAGTTTATCCTTGTCATTGGATAGATTGTAGACACCATATATATATGTGTGTCGTGTGGTTTAATGAGATACACAAGTTACTACTCTTCTAATCTCAACATTTATTCTTTTATTTGGGTATTTTCCTCATATTTTTAAAAACGCAAGGTTCTAGATCTAGATCCATGTTTTTGACTCATAAACAATAGCATGAATTCCTTTCGCTTTGTACACTATTGTTGATTTTACTCTATGATACACTTTTTAACAATAAACTGATAAAGTTAATATATCAAAAACATATACATGTGCGTTCGTTGTTTCTCTTGTTGGATATTTTCGTGTTTCATCGTCCAGTTTTTCAATGTAACTACTGCTTTACTTTTGACACTTGTGATACAAATATAATAGGTAACTAGATTCTGACCCGCCCCCGGCATATTTTTTTGTTGTAATTTTTTTAAAGAAATTTAATTTTAATATCTATGTTTTATTTGTAATCATATTTTTGGTTAATATTAATATAATTTAATGTAATAACTATGTTAAATTTTTCAAGTTGCATAACTATACACTTGTGCCATATGGATATTATAAATTATTTTAAATTTTTATTCTTACAATTTGCAACATATTATATTTTTTTGTAATAAAATAATTAGTCAATAATATTTATATTCAAAAAACCCCATTTCAGAATTGATCCGAAAATCAAAGTTTCAATATTCTATTAGACCTAGCATATATACTCGAACGGTTCATAAAGTTTTATATCCGAAAACTAATATCACATTTAATAAATATTTTTAGTCGAATAACCTATTTAAAATCCGTTAAACTAAATGAGTTTATTTAAAACCCGTTAAGCTAAGTGAAACTACTATAAATGTTTTATTAGACATAATCTTTTATCAATTGGTCATGTTGCTGTAACCCTCAACGATGCGATATGAATGTATATTTTTGTTTTACAAAAATAAAAAATCAGTAAACGTAATTTTGGTATAAATTCAAAAGGAATGAATAATTTTTAACTAATATCTTTTGGTAACAAAAGTTGCAAAATATGAGTGCATAAGTTTTAGGGATAGAGAGGTAGATAACCAAAATTCAAAATTGAATTTAGAATAATATATTTTATTCTTAGAATGTTTTTATTTGTTAAATAAATACTGAGAAAAAAAATTAAACATGGTCCATTTTAAAACGATCAGATCTGTAGCGTTTTGTGTCATCATCCGTATCTTTATTTGATTAGCTTTATTTACTTTATAGCTTTTATTACTTACTTAGTGGTCCCTGATTATTAGGAATAGTTTTGTATGTAAGAAGCAGTTATATTATGTATGAATAGTATATCTTTTTATTAGACACAACTTTTATTAATTGATCATGCTGCAGAATTAATAGTATTGATTAAGACATCTTTAGTCAGTGATCACCAAAAATACTACTAGGAATCTTTCAATTAACATTTGGCAATATTGTGTCCAAAAAAAAAAACATTTGGCAATATTATGCAGAATGGATTGGGGTGTGCCCAGTTTCACTTCAACTCGACATACCTACACGCATCAGTTTATGTTATATCCTAAATTTGTGTTATTTATGTATATACTGCATGCAAGTTTAATTAGTATTAAACCTAGTTAGGGGAAATAGGACAACGGTCACACGATATGGAATACGATCATCAAATTTTACTTGTAATTTCTGCTAGCTCACTAGCTCTACTAAACTATTTTGTAATTGCATATACGTAAACTTCTTTAAAGTTATGATAATTGTTAAACTTCTTTAAAGTTATGACAATTGTTACATTGACTTAGTGTTAAACCATGAAACGAAAGAATTCGATATTATGTTTAGTTTGTTTTTAAATCCATATAGTTATGATTATATCTATGAATTTATGGATTATGCCTATAATTTTTCTAAGTAAAATGGGGCCGGTTTGATTGTTCAATGAAAAAATTCCAATATATGGAGAGATGTTTGATCATTACAACGTTGAATAGTAACACAGTACTATAGTTAAAGAGACATCTCAACTCCATTATAAAGAGAAAACGATTATAGTTTAGTTATTGGTGGTATGTCTGCTTTATCAGCCATCCCAACAAATCAAAAGTGTCTTTGCTAAAATGATTATAAAACGTTGATTATTCATTAGCATGCTTGATTTGGATTGTTGTGACCTGATAATCTATCAGACAACATGCGGAACAATATTCCGTTTTGACTTTCACAGTATTTTTTCCACTTTGTTGAATCTTTTGTATTTTAGTTTGCTCGTATTTATTGGAGATTACAAATTTACAATGATAATTTTTTAAAAAATAAAAATAAAGTGAAAATGGCATCTACTGTAACAAAATTGTCATCTTATAGAATAAACTAATATTGAATAACTTAATTCTATTAATTTTGTAAAAAATTTTACCACCAAACAATAAAATAAAATAGTCTTTCTCTCAATTCCACCTAAAAGAGACAAAGTATTTCAAATTGTACTCTCCAATAATTATAATAAATTTATTCCATTGTGGCATCTCCATTAGCAAACCTCTAATGGGGTTCACTATGTGGCGTTTTTTTTTTTTTTTAACTTTTTCAAAAAAATAAAAAAATTCAACGAATCATGGTCCGCCACGTGGCAAACTCGTGACGATCCGATATCACCGCAGCAAGTTCACTCGATGCGGGTTCACCACTGTTTACCTCATAAAACCGTGTGATCCCCCCTCTTAAACCCCTTATAATCTCCTAATGGAGATGGCCTAATCCTGCCATCATCACATCCATCTTCATTCTATCAACTCTACTAAAAACCGTTCATCAGTAGCCTATTTTATACGTATATGGGCTTATAGTATATAGGCCTCTTGAATATCCCATGGGCTTAAATGGGCCACCGAGTGTGAACAAATCACGAGCCCCAGAAATCAACAAAACATCGGGGAGGATCAGAGAAGAAGCGATTCTTCGATACTTCATTTTAAACAGTCTATGGCCACCGATCTCTCGCCGATTACAACTTCGCCGCTTCTCCGTCGCTTCTTCCGTTTCGTTACCGTATCTGAGACTATTCATCTTTCCTTGAATCAGGTGAGTTTCGATAAATTCATATCTAGAAAACCGATTAATTTTGAAGAATCTTAGGTTTTGATTGAGAATATTCTTGGTGTTTCTTTTTTTGTTGTTTGTAAGTTGAGAGAATGATAGGTTCACTTTGAATTGATTTTATGGAGCTAAATCAATTTGATTTGTGTAGGTTTCTTTGAAGGTATGGGGGATGAGGTTGATTTGAGTGGAGATGGAGGAGTCTTGAAACAGATTGTGAGGAGAGCTAAGCCTGATGCTATTGCTCCTTCTGATGATTTTCCTGTTGTTGATGGTAATGTTGAAAAGCCTTAGATTCTCATTTCTCCTTTGAATGTTAGGTGAAAATATGAATTTTTTAACCAAGCGAGGACGGCCTAGTGGTCTTGAGGGAGCTTTGGCCCCAATACGGACCCGGGTTCGAATTCCGCTGGACACTGGGGGTAAAATTTAAAATCTGGGCTCCCCCAGCGTCCGGTGACCGAAGTGTATTCCGGCCGATAACGTAGGCTGATACGGACACTCGTCGCTAGTCTGGATGTCAGAGTACACCGGGTTATTCAGAAAAAAAAAATTATGAATTTTAATGAAGGATTAACTCTATATATATGTTGATTATGTTAGTTCACTACGAGGGTATATTGGCTGAAGATGGGAAGGTTTTCGATACTACGCGCGAAGACAATCTGGTTTTCTCCTTTGAGTTGGGGTCAGGGAGTGTTATTAGGTCATGGGATATTGCACTTAAGACCATGAAGGTTCTGTACTATCAGTCTTTGAATCTGAGCTTGTTAAGTTATATATATATCAGAGAGTTGATTGGGCAATTTTTTTTTTCCAGGTTGGGGAAGTTGCAAAACTCACTTGTAAACCAGAGTATGCTTACGGAAGTGTTGGATCTCCTCCCGACATCCCACCTGAGTATGTTTGTGTTCCTCACTTGGAACATTTCGTTTAAAATTACAAAGATTTCTGGTTTGAGTATGAGAATTTTTGGTAATTGCAGTGCAACGTTGATTTTCGAAGTGGAATTGGTTGCTTGTAGACCAAGGAAAGGTGCTAGTGTTGGAAGTGTTTCCGAAGACAGAGCCAGGCTAGAGTAAGCATTATAAACACTTTTTTGACCTCACTAACTCTTTGATTTAAGAATATAAACAAACTCCCTTTTGGGCTTATGATTATGGTTTATGGTTGTAGAGATCTGAAGAAGCAGAGAGAGATTGCGGCGGCGTCTAAGGAGGATGATAAGAAGAAGAGAGAAGAAGCAAAAGCTGCTGCAGCTGCTAGGATTCAAGCTAAGCTAGACGCTAAGAAAGGTCCCGGCAAAGGAAAAGGAAAAGGCAAATCTAAATAAGTCTAAAACCAAGAGACCAACGTTGTTGTGTAAACTTTTAAGATTATACATGATTTTAAGCTTCTAAATGTTAAAAGTGGCAGTTATAAATTATCATAATGTGACCATTACATGATTTGTTTCGTGTCTAAAGATCTTTGCTGATTTTGATTTGCAGACATTGAATAACATAACAGTAAGTGTCCAGAACCAAACTTTTCAAACTATATCGGAAGCATCATCATCATCTGCTGATTTTAATACACGCATTACTAACATAACAAGGGTCCAAAAACCAACTCTCAATCCATGACGGAGGCATCATCATCATCTGTCCCGTGCACTTGTTCTTGCCATCCTGAGTGAGCCTTGAATTTGCAGACAGGACATGTTCCTTGCTGTCTAAGCCACGGATCCGATACAGTCTGCATGAAACTGAGCAAACAGATATACACACGAGTCGGTGAGAGATTATAAAACGCATTAGATGAACTTAGTTTAAGGTAAAAGAGTATATTTGAAATGCAAGCAAGGTAGCCTGCGAACAACTTCCCCTACGATAACTTGTTCGAGAACAAACACTACAAGTGAGCTCGTCTTCTGTTCCTTTTTTACTCTCACTTACAGTTTCTTGCTTCCTCTGCTTTGAACACGAGGAAAGGATCATCAACATTCAAGATTTCGTCAGCCACTTATCAAGAATCTTGTACAATCTTGCTACTTATACTGCTCTATGTGTGTGTGTGTGTGTTTTTTTTTTTTTTTAATTTATCTTTTCCTTACCTTATTTTAGCAAACCGTGTTAACTAACCACTTCTCTTAGGTATTACTTGCTCTTCTTACCTTAAGATATTTCAGAATCTCTTGTCATTTTCAGTGTTGACCTTATCTATTTTTTCGAAAAGTCTTCTGTATTTGAATGGATCAGTGTGAACTATAATAATAGCCAGATAAACGTTGGGAATCTATTCATCATACATTTTGCTCATCTCTTTCTGCAAAAAAGAAAAAGAGATACATGAAACTCTTTCTTTTACTTTCTTTAAGTGCTCTCATGTTACTTGAAGCATTCGATAGTAGCCATGAAACTGACAAGCAAGCATTACTCAAGTTTAAGTCTCTAGTTTCTGAGGAGAAAAAAGTTTTGCTGTCTTCATGGAACAACTCGTTCCCTCTCTGCAGATGGACAGGGGTTACATGTGGCCGCAAACACAAGAGAGTTACTCGTTTAGACCTCGGAAGTTTCCAATTGGGTGGAGTGATATCGCCATTTATTGGTAACCTTTCGTTTCTCATATCACTTAATCTCACTGATAACTCTTTTGGTGGTAACATCCCTACGAAGCTGGGAAACTTGTTTAGACTTGAGCACTTGCTTATGCCATTTAATTTACTCAACGGAGGGATTCCAGCCAGTGTGTTCAACTGTTCTAAATTGTTGAAGTTTGATTTATTTTCAAATTATCTTGGTCAAGGTGTTCCTTCAGAACTAGGATCATTGAGGAAGCTTGTTACGTTAGACCTTGGTAAAAACAACTTGAAAGGAAAACTCCCTCTATCTCTAGGAAACTTGACATTCCTCATAGGACTTTCCTTTGAAAAAAATAATCTGGAAGGAGAAATTCCTGATGCCATAGCTAGATTGACTCAAATGGAGTTTTTATCATTAAGTACAAACCATTTCTCCGGTGTTTTTCCTCCTGCAATTTACAATTTATCCTCACTTAAGTATTTGGACATGTTTGGTCATGGTTTCTCCGAGAACCTGAGGCATGATTTTGGTAAGTTGCTACCAAACCTTCGAGAATTGTATATTGGAAATAATTCTCTCACAGGAGCCATTCCATCAACACTTGAAAATATTTCAACTCTTCAAAATTTGGGCATGGAGCTTAACAGTCTGACAGGAAGTATTCCTACGAGCTTTGCAAAACTACGATATTTGCAAACACTAAGCCTTACTGGCAATTCTTTGGGAAGTTTATCAGCTGGAGATCTTGAATTTCTTGTTGCTATGATTAACTGCTCCCAACTGCAAAGCTTAGATGTGTCATTCAATAGGCTTGGGGGTGACTTGCCTGCCTCAGTTGCCAATCTATCAACGAACCTCAACCAGTTATTTCTTCAGAACAATTCCATATCTGGAAGCATTCCTGATAAAATTGGGAATCTCATTGGCCTACAAACATTAGTGATGTCCTTAAATCTATTAAAAGGACGAATCCCAGCCTCTTTTGGGAAGCTTCCAGGATTGGTGAAATTAAGTATCTTTGCAAATAGAATCTCAGGCGAGATACCATATTCTTTAGCCAACATCACTCTCTTAGAACAGCTCTCTTTATCCACCAATAGTTTTGAAGGAATAATTCCTCCAAGTCTTGGTAACTGTAGCTATTTACTACGTTTACATATCCATAATAATAAGTTGAGTGGTATTATACCTCAGGAGATTATGAAAATTCCAACCCTTGTTTCCCTAAGCTTGTCAAACAATTCATTGGTTGCCTCTCTACCAGAAGATGTTGGACGACTTGGAAATCTTGGTTCATTATATGTTGCTCATAATAAGATATCAGGGAAACTCCCAGAGACTTTGGGAAAATGTCTCACCCTAGAAGAACTTCAGCTGCAAGGAAATTCTTTTTATGGAAGCATTCCAGATATAAGTAGGTTGCTGGGTATTAAGAAAGTTGATTTCTCAAGCAACAATTTCTCTGGAAGAATCCCTGAATATTTTGCAAACTTTAGTTTGTTGGAGTATCTCAATCTATCTTTCAACAACTTTGAGGGAAATGTGCCAACAGAAGGAAAGTTCAAAAATGCTACAGTAGTCTCTGTATTTGGAAACAAGAAACTTTGTGGAGGCGTCTTGGAACTGGGACTAAAGCCATGTTTTACGCAACTACCAGGAAATTCAAGAAAGAAACTTACGATTGGAGTAAGCTTGGGCATATCTTTGTTTTTGCTTTTCTTCATAGCTTCAGTTTCTCTTTGTTGGTTAAAAAGCAGAAAGAAGGAAAATACCAATAAGGCAACTCCTTCCACCTTGGGGGTTTTTCATGAAATGATAAGTTATGGAGATCTTCGAAATGCAACAGATGGTTTCTCTTCGAGTAATTTGATCGGGTCAGGCAGTTTTGGTACCATGTTTAAAGCAGTTCTCCCTGCTGAGAACAAGGTTGTTGCTGTGAAAGTTCTAAATATGCAAAAACGCGGAGCAATGAAGAGCTTTATGGCAGAATGTGAATCCTTGAAAGACATTAGACATCGTAATCTTGTGAAACTGTTGACAGCTTGTTCGAGTACAAGGAAATGAATTCAAAGCTCTAATCTATGAGTACATGCCAAATGGAAACTTGGATATGTGGCTGCACCCGAAGGACACAGTAGAGATTTCTAGGCCCTCAAGAACATTGACACTTTTGGAAAGGCTTAACATAGCAATTGACGTGGCTTCTGTTTTGGAATATCTTCATCTTAATTGCCATGAAGCTATTGCTCATTGCGATCTTAAACCAAGCAATGTTTTTCTTGACGATAATAAATTTTCAATATCTTTAAGGTACATTGATAGTTATTACAAAATGTATTAAAAATTAATAACAAATTTGTTTGTAAACATTCATTATATTCTTAGTATACGTAAAAAAAAGACTCTAGAAAGTCCTTGTTTTGGGAACAAAGAGAGTATATTTCTTGCTCCAGTCTTTTGTTTATATGACATATGGTGCAGAATATGCAATGGGAGGAGAAATATCAGTGCATGGTGATGCATATAGCTTTGGGATACTCATTTTTGAAATGTTCAGTGGAAAACGGCCAACCGATGACATGTTCGGAGGAGACATTACCCTCCGTAGCTGCATCAGGTCTGCATTGCCAGAGCAAATTTTGGATGTGGCAGACGAATCGGTTCTTCACAACGGCCTTAGAATTGGCTTCCCTGTTGCTGAGTGTTTGACAAAGGTTTTAGAAGTGGGACTTGGGTGTTCTGAAGAGTTTCCAGCAAACCGCTTGGAAATGAGTGAGGCTGTAAAAGAATTAATCTCAATCAAAGAGAGGTTTTTCAAAGTCAGAAGAGGAGCTAGACGTTGAAGTGTGTCTTGTATGATTGCTCCTCTACAAACTTGAAATATTTCCTTATAATATGCTTTGAATGTTGTCAACAGAATGCTATGTTATTTGCAGACAATAGATGAATGTTGTGTTAGCACTTTGATGTTTGTAATATGGAATTTCTACTGGTAAAACATTTTGCTTTAGCAATTTGATATGTAACACATGTTTAATTAGTTTCTTTAAGTTTCATGTGTTGTTGTAAACTCTTTTATGATTATACAGTTTCATGATTTTTAAGATTGAATGTTAAGTGGCAGTTATCATAATGAACATTACATTTGCATGGTTTGTTTTGGGTCTAAGATCTTGCTGATTTGGATTCGCACACATTGAATCTAATCGTAAGATAAAGCAACTTAATCGACTTGTTTAAAATATTTCTAGAAGCTAATCAAAGTGTTACCATAGTATTAGCTTGAATCTAATCGAAACAGTTAAAAACTCATCATCAACATCAATCATTACATGATTTGTTTTGGGGTTTCCGTTTCTGCTGATTCCAATACACACATTAATAACATAGTAAGGGTCCAAAAACCGAACTCTCAAACCATGACGGAGGCTTCATCATCATCATCATCATCATCTGTCCCGTCGTCTTGTTCTTGCCAGCCTGAGTGAGCCTTGAATTTGCAGACAGGACATGTTCCTTGCTGTCTAAGCCATGGATCGATACAGTCCGCATGAAACTGAGCAAACAGACATATACACGAGTCATGAGAGACTATAAAATGCATTACATGAACTTAGTTTAAGATAAAAGAGTTAATATGGAAACCTGATGCAAGCAAGGTAGCGTGCGAACAACTTCCCCTATGGTAACTTGTTCGAGGCAAACACTACAAGTCAGCTCGTCTTCTGTTCCTTTGTTACTCATACTGACAGAATCTTGCTTCATCTGCTTCGAACAAGAGGAAAACACCACACAAAAGTTAAGACTTTGTCAGCCACTTGACAAAATGTTAATTGTAGTGAAGACCAACTCTAACACGATCTCTGTATAATGCTATTTTGAGAAAATGTGATACCTCCGCTGAGGATGAGGTTGATGCCTGCTTTGTCAAAGAGGAACCACTGTCAACAAAAACAAGAAACAAGAAAATCCGAAAACCAATTAATACAAAGAGCCTTTAGCCAATAATGCTGAGGAAATTGACATAAGAGCTCCATTGTAGAATTTGTGCCTAAGGATTAATCAAGAAGTGATGTTTCAATAGTAGAATAAACCAGAAATTTTTTCAACTAGACAGGTTATGTTTCTCGAACCTCTAGGAAAAACATCAAACTGAGACAGATATTGAAAGAGTTAATGAGCTAATTACCGAAGTTTAAGTCTATAAAAGTTGCTAAGCAACAGGCAACAAGCATCCTAACTTTTTACCCTATTAAACAAAAGTGTTCAAATAGAGAAAAGAGGTACAAGATTTACTCACTTTTCAGGATCCAAATCCTTGTACTTGTGTACTGGAAGTGCATTTATCTCTTCCTCGCTCATAGAGTTCGTGTGAACATTATCAGAATCAAGTGCTCTTAGAGTTTCATAATCTGCAGCAAAACAACTTTATCTCTCAGAAATCAACTATATAAAATCATACTATTTAAACTTGAAAAAAGAGAGAAAAATCTGACGTTATTATCATATCACATTTCAAAACTTCAACAAAGAACTCGAATATATAACTGACCTAAGTCATCAAACTCCCGATCAAGAAGAGCCAACTGAAGCCTAAGTCCTTGAAGACGCCCTCTCGTCGCAAGAGCAATGGATGGAGGCACATGCAGCCTCAACTCAGTATGGCTAAAGAGCCCACTAGCTGCTGCAACATGAGCCTGCGCCTGAGCTTGAAGTTGCTGACAAGTCGCATACATCCTAAGAGTCGTCGCCATCAAAAACACCCCAAGCACAAGCCAAAGCTACAAAATTCCACAAAATTCACAAAATTCACAAAACTCACAAAACTCACAAAAATCACAAAATTCACAAAACAAACAAAACTCACAAAACATCAATAAACATAACTAACCGAAAAAAAGATCTTCATGTAGTAAATGAATACATACCAGGAAATTAGGAGGCATCTGATGCGAATTGAGAATCATAAACAACAAAAGAACTGAAACACACAAACCAAACAACGCATCAGAGCTTCTGATTGATAAAAATGAATGAATAATGGAAATATAAAATTACCAGTGACGAGAAAAGCAAGGGAATTAGAGTTAACAGGTCGAGCTCCGTGAACACGCTGCAAGTGTTTACACTTTCCATTAGTAAAACATTCTAACAATATGTCACTGTATTTGCATTTTTGAGAAAGTATGAAGAAGAAGAAGGCAATAATTACCATAGCAGCTCGTCTCTCGGGGATGAATCCTGAGAATCCGCTTTCTAAATCTCCTCTACTTCCTCTAAAAACGAAACTCATCTTCTTCTTTGAAAAATGCACAAGTGCCTGCCTGCAAAAGAGATTTGATCAAAAACAAATCTTGTATTGAACATGCAGATACAAATATTCTGAAATTAATTCGAAAAAAAACCTAACTAAATGCTAACTAGAGAGACTATGTCATTAAAACCTACGATGATGACAAATCTTTTATTAAATCGATGACGAGAGGGTTATTCAATTCGATAATCTAACTGTGACGAATGGAAGGAGAGATCGGAGGAGAGACTCACCTCTTCTTTGTGGAGAATCTACAATGTTAGAGGGGAACGATGGAATCGCCGTCGGAGCGAGTCGACTCGGGACGAGTTCTCGCTCGCTGTTTAATTTTTTGTCGACGATATAGTTTTTGTCTTCATCACACCGTTGATATGGTTTTATGTTATGGATTGAAACGTCGTCGTTTGCGTTTCCACTTTCCACTTCTCTTTTTATTGGGCTCTACTCATTTCCACTAGTGTCACTGTCATGGCATGACACCTGTGATCAGTTTATAACTCATAAGCTTCTGTAAATTAGTGACATTATGGAAAGATACTCATAAATATATAGCTTAGAACAATCTGAGGTAACAAATATATTCGAAAAAAGAAGTTAATAAAGTTTATCTAACAACAAGAGATATAAAAAGAGAAGTTGACAACAAAAAAAATATATATATATAATAAGAGTTCTTAACCAATGATTATTTTTAAAGTTCTTCATATTGATATTTTTTTTAGTATACAATGCAAAAGAAAAAAATAGAGAAACAAATAAAAATAATAATTCTTAATCCAAAAATTCTTATCATAAACCAGTCTTATTGAAAACAAAAACTCAAAGAAATTTTTAAAAAAAAAACAATACTGAAGCAACATATAGTGTGTGTGCTCATAATTTATGTGACCAAAAAGCTATTTGGAATACAAAAGTTTTTCAAAGTCTTGATCCAAGAAGTTGACTCGCTTGATTACATTTGACGTCATTAGCAAATCCAACCGTTGCATGTGCAAGATCATACTCCATCCACACGTTTTGCTGATGATAATTCCCGATTATAAACATATCTATGTTCGCAAGTTCTGAGTTCCCGAACGTGAAACAATACTTCTGGTCGGAACCGGGTCCTGGTACACGGTACAGTAGCTTCTCACCCGAGACAGTCAGCTCTGCTCCTGGGAACATCAGACTCACCGTTGGTAGTTTCGAAAAATCAGGCTTGGTTGTCCCAACACGGAAACAGAGATCCAATGCGGTTTGGAAAACAAAACCCGGGTCAACAGTGAGAACCGGTTTGGTTTGTTTGGTAAACTCGGTTTTCAAGACGTTGTAAACCGGAGCTAGGAGAAACGTGAACTGTGTACCCGTATCCAAAATAGTCTGACCCGCTCCGGAATTTTCAGGAACAAAAGCTGAGGCAGGGATGGGTAAGAGTGTTGACCCGACCCGAATCCCTTGGAATTGGACCGTATACGCGAACCGGTCCCAATAAGGTAACCGGTCTAGTTTAGTAACCAAAGGTGTGTATTTAAGAGGTGGAAGAGGCGCGTCACCGAGAACCAAAACACCGGTAGAGTCAGAACCGGAGATACAATATGAGAATTTTGATAAACCCATCTGGTTAACAAACGATAACCGACCCCGGTTCATTCCCATTAAACCGGTTGTCTTAGCATCTTCCCCTGGTGTTGTACTAGAGGTCGAGTCCATGCATCCAAACGCCGTGGAGGGTCTCCTCGTAGCCCCGATACCAAACGTATCTAGAGCTAGGTTCCCATCCAAGGAAGAACCATCGGCGTAGGAGACAGCCACGTGGCAGAGGTTAGCGTTTTTGTCACAAATGGGAGGATTGGTCAAGTCTTGGGTTTGGGTGGTGCAAACTGGTGAGGAACATGGTAGAGTAGTGTAAGAAGAGGATCTTGCATGGTCGAAAATGGGAGTTGGGGTTGATGTTTTTTTGCAGTGGAGCCATGAGAGCTCGCTTCCGGTGTCGAGAACCATGTTGATGGTCTGTGGGGGAGAACCGGCGGTGAGAGTAACGGTGAGTGTGACATCATGCGTGAAAGGAATTTTTATTGGTGGCAAAGAAGAGAGATGACGTTGTTGGAGGAATGTTGTTGAAGAAGCGTTATGGTCCTTATAGTGTATGTTTTGGGCAGTGAGAGGGAAGATTAGTGTTTGGTTTGTATGAATTATTCTAGAGAATGCGAGAGGGATCGTTATTAAAATGCAAAATGTGATTTGGAGATGGATCAACGACGAAAACATCTTGTTAGTTTATTATTTCTCTCTTAGATGATGATTTGTAATGAGTTCCTGCATCCTTTATATGTGTATACATGTATGGTTTAAGCAGTAAAGAAACAAATCACGAGGATTTGGAAGAAAATGACGCCATTAAGCCAATAACAAAATCTTGGTAATGCTTAGAATCAATGAACCAGATACGTGAAAGATATGCCATAAAAATATTGTTTGAATTTGCACTTCATAAAATAATCAATTAATGATTGTTTAGAAGAAAGAGTATGAATAAATTGATATATGCACATTACCAAGATATTTGGTAAGTCACTACATTTAGTCAAGGTATTAAGATCTGACATTACCGTTTAGGTATGTTATTGGTCAAAGTTGAACATACTTACTCTCAACAGAAAAAAAAAACGTTTTAGTTTTAAATGTATAATATATGTTGCCTAAGATCTACTAGATTTTTTTTTGTAAAATCCTTGGGTTAACTGAATCTCATGTATGTATACAGAAGTATTGTTGAGGATGATTATAATTTCTTACAATGTATCAGTCAGTTTCATTATACAGATATACCATTTTGTTTATGGATACAATCCTGATTTTCAGAATTTAGGATTTATTGGCCCCTGTAAAATTTGCTAGTCAGTGTACTAATGAAAAAAATAGTGATGTTAAAGTATTTGTATATTTTTTACTAAAATAAATTTTAGATTAATTTTGAAACGAGACTTTGTTCTCTCAGTTTTTTACTGAACTTTTAGATAATAATAATATAGAAAAACCTGTATGGTAAATAATATTTATTCTTTTTTTTTGTGACTTGAGAACTTTATTTTCTTGTATTTCAGAATTGCGTGATAATGAAGCAACAGAACTTTTAGTATGCAGAAGTGATAACAAACACTATAAACAATCAATTATATAATCCATGACAACAACTGGTTCACGAAATAATGACACGGACGCCATTGTACTTCTCTATTTCTAAAGGGAAGTGCAACGATATTGTATTAGTTCTGTTGCGAAATGAAAAAGAATCCTATATCGCTATGAGTAGGCAAGTTGGGTAACATCCTTGTACTTTTTGTTTTTGAATGTACTTAAAATTGCTAGGGAATATAGTTATGATGAAATGAAACCAAATCTTCCATACTTTTGAATTTTTTTGTATTTACTTGTAGTGCAAGTGTTGTTACATAAAGAGAAATCTATGTAACATATCCAAGAAAAAGATTGACCGCAGCACAGCTAGAACTTGATCATGCATGCTAAGATTCAAAATGAAGCGCATACAAACACTACCTAAATCTCGTAATACAAACAACGATACCTACTTTTATAAACCAAACGCCTACCTTGATAACTCGTTACCGTATCACAAGCTTAAGAAGAACAAAACAATAGAGCTACACACACCAAAACAAAACTAATAAGTGCATCAAGATATAAACGGGCTTAAGAAGCGCCAAAAGACCAATAACAACCACACACCATTTCTCTTTAAGACAAATGCTCAGGTTTTTCCACATCATAATGAAAGAAGAAGCACATCAAAGCTCAAAGGCCATCCTACCATCAGTTTAACATTCATAAAAAAAGCTATCCGCCGATCAAAATAACCAGTCAGAAAAAAAAGCAGTAATCACCACCACAAACCAAACAAACAAACACTAGCTAAAATGTCATAAACCGCACAAGATGAAATTTTTCAAAAGCTTAATAAACAAAAGCCTAACCATGTAATCATTCCAGTTAAAAGAACTTCTCCAGCCACCACCGGCCTATCTAACTATCAATACGAAGGAGGACCACCACGAGGCGGAGGAGCACCCCAAAACACATCTTGCTGACCCATTTGATGACCATTTGGTACAAAACTAGAACCCATATTATACATCTGCTGCCCTTGCATCGACCCATCATTACCATCATTCCCACTCTCATTTTCATCATTCTCCTTCTTAGCTTCTTCTACTTGTGGTTGCTGCTGCTCTTGTGGCTGCTCATCTTCTATCGGTAACCTCTCAAAAGTAGCGTTACAAAACGTCGCAGCTATTACAATAACCGGTCCAGACGCAATAAGCGGTCCAGCTACTCCACCTCCCACGACTTGACCCTGAGCTCCAGCTAAGTAAATAGTCAAACCCGCGGCTGCAGCAGGAGAGCCAGAAGTTGGAAGAAACGCACCGCACATAGACAAGATCTCAAACTGACCACGAAGAGACACAACACCTCCAGAGGCAGCAGGCTGACGCAGAGTAACATTAGTGACCAAACCGCTCCCGCTCAGAACGGAAACGCCTCTCCCGCGTCTACGAGCAAACGCGTTTAGACTTTCCGCCACGTCAGCACCCGTGGCTATCTCCAGGACGTGGCTTTGTAAAGAGTTAGGGCTTTCTTTGGTGACAACCACTGGGTTCTTGGGCTTGTTCTTGGAACCAGGAGGTCTGCCTCTCGGACGCCGACCCGTGGACCCGGATCCGGGCTCCACCAGGGCTAGCTCGTCTCTGCTGGTTTGCTCCTCTTGGCTGTTCTGTGGCTGAGTGTTGGGGCTTCCACTGAAGTCATGGTCCAATCTTGGATCCGACCGGGTCATAGTAGGGTTGTTGTTGCCTCCGTGGTGCAAAGAAGGAGCTGATGACGTCACTGGACTCTCTACCCACCAAGGATTCGCCATTGTTTTACTTTTTTTCTCTCTAAAGTGAAAATAAATAAATATATAATCTTTATTTTTTTCCTACTACTCTCCGACAAGAAACTATTACTAGAGAGGGAGAAAATCCGAAAAACCTTATCCTAAAATGCTTAGATTAAATGTTTTGTAACCAAATCCAAACCAACATGTTGCATGAAGCAGACACAGAAGACATGGAACATCATTTGTTTTTCTATTATATACCTGAAGAAAGAAAAAAGACAAAGAAAATAATCAGATCTAGCAAGAAAGAAAATCTAGTTCCAAAAAAAGAAAAAGCAAGAAAGAAAATCTAAACTTTTATTTTTTTCAAAGATAAAAAAATCTAAACTTTTATTTACCAATCAAAATACAAATATAAAACTTTATGTGATTTGAGTAAAAGGAAGACCGTACCCAGAGAGAGAGAAGAGAGAGAGCCAAAGATTTGTTTCAGGGGCAAAGCCTTGTACTTGTAAGAACACTCTCTTGCGGTCTCTTTCTATTTCGTACTTTGGAAAAAAAAAATGTGCGTACGTTAAAAGGAGTTATGGTAAGAGAGGCGTAGGATAAGGGTATGGTTGATGTGAATAGTATAGTAGAATGTGATTTGATCTTTCCTTGATCACGCTCTCTGAAGCGGTCCTCTCTTCTCTATCTCGCCACTAGAGCCGTCCTTTTGGACCATTGAACTTTTAGGTGTTCGTGCAAAAGTTTGAGCGAGCTTCTCTAGACACGCCTTGTCTCTTCTACACACTAGCCCTGGTTGTGGACCCAATTGGAAATTACTATATTACCCTGATCTCAATTGTCAATTCAAAGATCCATATTTGGTAACGAGTCTTCTGTCTGATGGTGAAAAATCATCTGTATAAAAAGAGAAATGTTGACTTGACCTTTGAATTATGTTTATTAGTTTGTTTTTACAAAATAATAACTAGATTCGGGCATCCGAAAGAGTGTTTGTTATTCATAATTATGTTTTAAAGTTTTGAAACTAAGATAAATTTAATTATTTATAATTTTTATATTATAGATTCATATATTTTTTATGATTAACATTGATGTATTTTGTTCAATATAATTAATATTCACTTATAAACAAAGAAATTATGTTTGTTTTTATTATGCTTTATTTAGTTTATTTGGTAAAATAAACAATAAAATATCCTAGCTTTTTTATATAAAATTCAAAATTATCATCTAAAATAAATATATTATTTAGACAAAAAATAATAAAATTGAAACCAAGTTTAAAACAACATTAAAAATGAGAAAATATTTAATTGAAATTATTAGTTTAGATTATTTGGTAATGAACTTATAATTAAAACATATCAAAATTTAATTACTCTGTTCAAACATTTTTTTCATGAAATATATGGATTGTGCTTTAATTATATTTAATAGACCAAATCTATAAAATATTAAATGAAAATTTTCCCTTTTTTAAAGAGTAAAACTCTATTATTTTATTTTAGTGACATAAAATATAATTGGGAAAAATTAAAAAGTATTTTTTATTTATACTCTCTTTTAATAGTTTAGATGACTTTTTATTAATATTTTGTTTTTTGACGAATTGTTTCTACAAAAGTTAATCTACAAGCAATTAAAACCTAAATATTCACTTGCTATCTTTTTCTTTCTGCCATATATTATTATTAAAATTCAAAGTCCAAAAGACAGACCCACACACATCTATGCTATTAAAGCATAATTTCTTTTGGGACTATGTCCCTAGTTTTTAAAGAAAAGTACAAAAATCTCACTTTCTTTTATTTTTAATGAAAACCGTTCATTAAAAGTCCAACTTAAAATCGTCTATTAAAAATTCAATAATTTTAACATTTATTTACAACGAAACGAGATTCAAATATATATAAAAAAATTTATATATTTGTAAGTTTACAAATTTGTCAACAGAATTAGGCATAAACATTTTATCCAGATCCGAGCAAGAACCGACCCGAGAATACAAGTTTAGGTCCGGATTTGGGTTCATGCTAAAGTATTTGTTGGATATTTTTTGTTTGGATCTGCGGGTCTCGGTTCGGGTCCGGGTCCTACTCAAAACCCGATCGGGTACCCAAAGTACCCACAAATTATTTTATATATTAGGTATATTTAGTTTATTGGGTATATTTTGATAATTCATGTATTTTTTAAAGTTCAGATTTGGATTTTATGTTATAATATTGGTTTTAGGTAAAATTTTATATTTTCAAAAAAATATAATTTGAGTATCGAGGTAAAATTTGGGTATTTTTTGAACTTTTGGGCCTGATTTTTGATAAACTTTCGGATATGTTTGCGGTTCTTCGAACATTTTTAGAAGTATTTCGGGTTTTTGGATCCAGGTTGGGTCTTTTAGATTCTTTTCGGGTCCTAAATACCCGAACCGACAATATACATGAACCAACGGACCCGACAAGATCCGACTTGAAACCGACCAGAAAGATTATAAGTACTTATATGGGTCCAAATTTCTAGGACTCGAACGACCTGGACCCGACAAGACTCGATCCAAACCTGACTCGGGGATCCAGCTACTCAGTATTAAACAATATATTACTCGCGCTTTAAAACCGCGGGTCAAAATCTAGTTACATATATAAAACAACAAGTCCAAAACAAAAGAGCAAATTAAACCACTTGGGCCATAAGCACATCAAACTGTAACCCATAAACACAAGGAGCCAATAAAACCACACGTCGAAGAACTAACTTGGTCGGCACTCGTGTTGAAACCCTCACCTATGAAGAAACACACGTCACATGACGCCCCATCTTGACCGACATGAAAGTCAATCTTGGAGACCTTATCAGCATTTCACCTGAACTACGCCGAAAATCGAAACCCAATCTCAGATCTCCACCTACTATCACCACTTCGAAACAGCCACCACCAGAGAAACCAAACCGTGCTTCGCTGTATCTCTACTGGCACAATAACCACACCATAATTTCCTTCATCACCTGATCACCTTTTTACGGAGAGTGTCTATTGAAACATCCAGATTTCATCCGAGAAAAATTCCTAACCACCAGTCCCGTTTTCATTTTCGAATCTTGATCCACTGGAGAGCATCAAATCAACGATTGTGGAGATCTAATCTAATACAACGTAGATCAAAGAAATAGGGACAAAAGCTGACGATAACGGTGTTAAAGAAGCCACTGCCTCCCGGAATCAGAAAGCCGACGAAACAGATGCAGGCAAACTTCCACTTTCCAGAGAAAAAGTTGGACGACCATCTTAAATTAAGTGCGACGCTGTAAAAAAAACAATCTAGAATTACTATCAATGGTAATCAAAACCAAAAATAAAAACTGTGAATAAAATATCATAGAAATACAAAACCGGATCGACGGTGGCTAGAAGAGCCTCACCGTCGTGATCTTCTGTTCTCTGTTTTTCTCTCTTTCTTTTTCTCTTATCAGTGTCCTTTCTCGCATTCACTTGCTATCTAAAGCATCATCATTTTGGTAAAGGTTTTCACTGCAAAATAATAAAATAAATAGTAGGAGAAAATGATGAAAACACTATAGCCACTTTGTCTCTTCTTGTAAAGAGACGTTTCAAGAGACTGTCTATAGCCATTCTTGTAGAAAGAATTAGAACTAAGTTTCAATCATTTCTATAGTTTACATTAGAATCGACATCTAATATTATATATAAATTTTTCAGATATAGTACTATTTTGTTATTGTAAATTCATTTTTAATAAATTTGTAATAAAACAGACTAGCAGAATCTGTGTCGACAAAAAAAAAAAACTGTTGCTGAATGCTGTAATAGAAACGTAATCTTATACTCTGTGAAGGCTATTGCAAAGTATAAATCTGATCTGAGAATATAAATTTATCGTAAGATGCAACATCCAAGCATGCTCTGATAGATTTTAAAACGTTTTAAGTTTAGATAGAATGCAAGCGAGAATGTGTGTGGTGTATTAAATGCAAAAGGATAAACAAGTGACTAGAGAATGTAAATGCTAAGATTTATAGACATTGAATTTGAGGAAGGATGACGACGATTTATTCAAAAGTTGACATAATTCCTTGAATATTTTGTCTGACCACACATACGACCATATCCAAATCGTAATAAACCAGGTCTGATGTCAAAAAAAAAAAACTAAAATAATGAAGAGAATGAAGTGAATAAAAGGAGACCACCACCGGCCCTGGTGGCCACTAGAACGGAACGTTACAGTTAACCTGGAGTATAAAAAAAGACTTTTATAATTTAAAAAAAGACTGGTAAACTTAAAAACTTTCATGGGGATAGAATAAAAAAAGGAGTATTTCCACATAGCCAAACTTAAAAACTAGAATATCCTACAAATGAACATCCTAAGCAGTTAACCTGGAGCTTTACAGTTTTAGTGGAAAAAAATAATTTTTCGGTTATGATCATACCATTCCGTTAGTTTCCATTGCGGTTTTGATGAAAAAATAATTTTATAATTTTAGTAGAAAAATATAATCTTTTGGATTTTGGTGGAATGTAATTTTACCATTTGGGTTTATATGGAGAAAAAATATATTATTTTACGGTTTTAATAAGAATTTTTTTTGCAGTTTTGGTAAATAATATAATTTTGATTGTAACAAAACAATGTGATTTTACTTTTTTTTTAAGGAAAGAGTAGGTGAGAAACTAGGGAAATATAATTTTGTCTATTGCTACTGATTGTGGATGTGATTAAATACAATATGTAATTTTGTGATTTTGAAGAATAACTATAATTTTGCCAATTCAGACAAGGAAATAAATTGCAAGTTTGACAGAAAAATAGTTTATTGCAATTTGATGAAAATATAATTTTGTGATTTCTTATTTGGCAAAAATTACAAATTTTCAGTTTTCGATAAAATATATTATAATTATCTGTCTGTTTAAAATTTGATTTTGATATTTTGATTTGAATTAAAATATTTTTTTATTTGTCAGTTTCAACAATTTCATCTTTTATCTAGATTCACCAATTAGACCAGTTTCTTTGATTAGATATTTTGATTTGGATTAAAATAATTTTTAATCATTTTTTTTAGTTTCAACAAGTTCATCTTTTATCCAGATTCACTAATTGTAGACTCAACTGGACAAGTTATCTGGATGAATTTAATTTTACGCTAAAATTTAAAATTTAACCTATTAAAACAGAAGTACAATTATAAACTAATCTTTAATTTTCTACAGTATTTACAATCCAATGCCACTAAATATTAAATAAACATATATTTAAGTAATCATTTTATTTTTCTATTTTATTAAATCATTTGCTAAATTAAATTTACTGAAATTTTTGTGATCAACATATTTCCCAAAAGGATTCAGCTAAATTTTTTAAAAATTCAGATTTAACACATTTTTAGTAATATAATATATCCTAAATATCATATAAACTCCACACATTTATCTTGCAAGGTTTAAAATATATGTATTTTAAAATACATGTTTAACCTTTATCATTAATTATTTTAAACAATAATCTATCTATACTAGGGTTTAACTATTTTGGAATTACTTATAGAATAATATTGATTGTTCATAATCAAATTTTCATTTTAATCTATCTAAATGTTTCCTAATATATATATATATATATATATATATATATATATATATATATATCAAATATTTCTAAAATATATTTTTAGTCATTTCAGTTACTATTAAT